AACAAAATAACCAAAAATTTCTATTCCACCCATTTTCGTAAAAATAACATGATTTTTATTTTATTTTGTTTTTTATGTCAGAGCCTGCTCTAATAAGATCAGCTAGGGTTTCTGGATTGAGTGTGATGAAATGTAGGATGAAAGAAAGTGAGTTAGAAAACACAGGATAGAATCATGATGTCTGGTCATGTCAAAGCATCCAAAGAGCCCAGAGTTTTTTTCAGAAGTTGCTTTTTTACAGATTAAGGGCAGAAGGCAGAAGAAAGAGCTGCACAGTCAGCTAACCTCCTCCCTGTACTGTTCTTGGGAGAAAGCATAAGCAGGGTCATATCGCTCCTGTGAATTCTTCTAGCAGCAAGCAGTTTCTGTTTTCTATCTGATGTGCCCTCAGCTGGCATATACTATGTCTGTGTATTAGTAGATAGTGTGTTCTTTTCTCATGGGCAAAATTCTCTTTCTCGTGGGCTTAATCAGAACTTTCTCACAGCCCTCAAGGATGCAGGCAGAGCAGACAAGGTTGAACTCAAATAAGTTTTAAGTCAGAATTGACTCCTGATATATACTGAATTTCATGTGGGCTCCCATATCTTTAGAGTTGAATAAGATCCTACTGTGTCTATATACTACACCTTCTTTACCCATTAATCTGCTAATGCAAATCTAGGCTGACTCAGTTTTCTAGCTGTTGTGAACACTGCAGCAATGAATATGTTCCTGTAAGCTACTCAGGGTAGTAATTATGAGTCCTTTGGAATTTATACCAGGGAAGATAGAGCTGGGTCATATGGTGCTTCTGTTTTTAGTCTGAGTCACAACTGTGTTCCAAAATGGCTTTATTAGTTTACATTACCACCAGCAGTCTATAGGGCTACTTTCCTTTCTACATTACTTTCACGGCCTGTGGCATTCATTCATTCTTTCTTTCTTTCACTCATTTACAGTTCTTTTTTTTTATTCATTTTTAGAATAGTACGTGATCATGATAGAGTGTGCCACACTCTTTATTCTAAGCCAGAGACTAGCATGGAACAGATTTTTTTTTTCATAGCAGAAGATAATAAACCAACAAGTCAATTGTATTGCATCTTCAATGATGATAACTGTTACCGTAAAGGAAGCAGAGGAGGGAGGATTGTGGCGATGTGAGACTGTCAGCTGTGGCTCATCTGTAGTTCCAGCTATTAGCAGAGGGCTGAGGCAGGATGAGGAGTTCAAAGCCAGCCCTACAGCAAATACTGACATCTCAGAACGTACAAATCAGTCACGGCTATAATCCTAGTACTTGCAATGTGGATACAGATGAATCATAACTTCCAGGCTTGCCTTGGCTGCATATTGACATTCTAGCTTATGTAAGACCCTGGTCATTATCCAGTACCACAAAGGTGGGTAAAGTTTAACTATGTATTACCTTGGTGTTAACAGACTTGAACTTGAACTTGCATTTCCTAAGGAACAACTATTGTCTGAATGGTTACATTAATTACTGGTTCAGTCCTTTGAAAGAAGTGTCATAAAAAGTCATTGGGGTCATTTTGGTTCAGCGACATGCCACATGTATTGTGTGCTGTGATATTTGTCTGTAATCTCAGCAGTAGGAAATTAGAGGCAAGGCCGATCTTGACAACATAGCAAGTTTGAGACCAGTCTAAAACTATGAGAGACAGATTAAAAATCAAACAGGAAATGCCCTATAATTAGCCAGGTCTCATGACAGTCAAGAGACTGAAATGTGAATTGTCTTTTTCGTGCCAGCCTTTGCTACATGTTGGAATCTTGACTCAAAAATAAGAACACGACAACACAAAAATACAACAAATGCCAAATGCCATCTTGTTGTCAATCAGTTATAGAGGGGTTAGAGTGCTAGGTTAGTAGCTAAGCACATTGGCTGCTTTTGTAGAGGACCCCAATTCAGTTCATAGCACCCAGCCACCCATCGTTTCTGTTCCAGGGGTTCCACTGCCTTCTCCCTTCTGTATGTACCAGGCATGTGCATGATACACGTACATATATCAGTATATATATCCAGGCCAAAACTCATATATATATATAAGCTAAAGAGGTTTAAGATTAGTTATACATATCAGATATTTCTTATGAAAATGCATGTCTTCTGGGAAACTCGGGTTAATCATCTATCACATAAATGATTATATATGAATACATACAAAAAGATGAAGAGTGAAATTTTTCCTTTAGCTTGAATTTTTTTTTATAGTTTTCATTCTGTTTGGGCCTCCCCCTGCCCCAGAAATCAGATTTTTGCATAGGCTGTAGTGGAGGTCATGGGGCCTCACAAGATCAATTCATGAATATTTTTTAAGGGATTGACATAACTCACATGGTAACTTTACATAGAGTATGGAAGCACATAAGCATTGGAGATGTCACTTTGGAAATGGTCATGATGTCTGTAGTCCCTGGGATGTTCTGAATGACAAAGTTCTTTGTGCACAAAGGACACAATTTATACATCAGTTTCTCTTCTTTTTTCTTATTTTTAATTTTTTAATTTATTCTTCTCTCATATATTACATCCAAACCGCAGTTTCTCTTCCAGTGATATCAATCAAACATGACATATCAAGTTACTATAAGACTAGGCACAAACTTTCATATTAAAGCTGGGCAAGGGGACCGAGTCGAGGAAAATGGTACCAAGAGCTGACAAAGAGTCATAGACACCCCCTGTTCCCACTGTTAGGAGTCCCACAAGAAGATATGTAGAGGGTTTAGGTAAGTCCCATGCTGGTTGTTGGTTCAGACACGGTAGGGCCCCTATGAGCCCAGGTCTGTTGATTCCATGGGATTTTTTGTGGTGTTCTTGACCTCTCAGGCTCCTACAATCATTTTTCCCCCTCTTCCACAGGATTCCCTGAGGTTGACTGTGGGTCTCTGCATTTATTTCTATCAGTTGTTGGATGAAGCCTCTCTGATGATGATTATGCTAGGCTCCTGTCCATGTGACTAGCACAGTATCATTAGGAATCATTTCATTTTTAGGTGCTTTTCTCCTAGGTCTCTGGACTATCCAGTCTCTGGCTCCTGGTGCTACAGGCAGTGTCAGGGGAACATTTATTTCCAAACATGAGCCATTCTGACTCGGGTGAAAAAGAGTCTCAAAGTAGTTTTAATTTTAGTTCCCTGATAGCTAAGGTTGAATACATTTTCAAGTATTTACGGGCCATTTGTGTTCCTTCCTTTAAGAAATTTCTGTTCAATGTGTTAGCCCTACTGATGAGAGGAGTACGGATCTTTTATATTTAACTTCTGCAGTTAATTATGTACTCTGAATATTTCAGACAAGGGTTAATTTTTATTCTTTTACATGTGGAAATGTAGTTTTCCCTCCATTGTTTGTTAAGGGGGCTGTCTTTTCTTTAATTGTATGTGTGGTGGTTATATGCCTTTAATCCCACCACTTGGGAGGCATATCCGTGTGAGTTCGAGGCCAGCCTGATCTGTAGAGTGAGTTCCAGGAGGCTCCAAAACTACACAGAGAAACCCTGTCTCAACACCCCCCCCCCAAAAAAAACAAGAAAACAACTGGCAACAAATGCTATTGAAGATGCAAGCATATGTTTATGTGTTTAAGGACAATCTTAATGCTAAAGGGTCTCTGCAGGAAAGAGAAACAGCACTTCATGTATGTTTCCATGGCCAAGAAATCTCTGAAGTTGGTTTGAATAGACTTGTCCAGAATTGACAACTACCACCTCTTTTCTTCCTTCCTTCCTTCTTCCCTCCCTCCTTCCCTCCCTTCTTCCCTCCCTCCCTCCCTCCCCCCTCTCTCTTTCTTTCTTTTTCTTTTTGGACTGTTTTCAGGGCCCTGACCTGGCCCATCTTGAGGGACTATTACCACCTATTTTTGCAATCAAGTTTTATTGAACCTCCCACCGAATAGATTTGCATCTCTGTTTTCTGGGCCCTGAAAATGGTCTGGTGAGACTGACCATCATCACCCATTACGGTTCCTTATTGACCAGTCATTCTTTCCAAAAGTTAACCTCCAGTCTAATAACATTATCAGGTTTTCTGGTAAGGTAGGTTGTGCAGTGAGTGACTTAAGGAATTTCAGAAATTTCTCTTTCAAATATTGAGGGAAAACAATCTACTTTTACTAATACAATTTCAAAATTATAAACATCCCTAAAGTAGGAAAAATTCCTCTTACCATATAATAGACTATGGTCGACAACTCAGTTTAAAGTTGCGTTGTGTCGGACTGATGTTCTGGACCATTTCTAAGAACATATGGTATGCATGTCTAAAATGCTTTCTAATTTTAAGGCTTATTTTCATTAAATTTATTTTCAAATATATAATACAAACATGAGGCCCAACATTCAAAATTAAAGAGTTTATATAATCACAGATTTATATAATCAATTTACAAGTGCGTCACTAGAGGATTTTTCTTGTAATGGAAACGGTTTATAATTTGTTGGGATAATTTAGTATTTTTACTTCTAACTCAGCATTGAGAATTCCGCATCCCTCATCCCGGCTTTTCTACCTTGGGTCCCTCCTTTACCTAATCAGCCCACTTTGGTGGGCTGTGGAGTTTAGTGACGAATGTATAAACACTAGAATTCTTCGCTATCCTTTTCTTTGCTCTCCTTCCGCGCTGCTAAACCACAGCTTTTTTTCCCTGACGTCACAGCATGAAAATCGTATGAATAGTATGCAATACTTGACAAATGACAAACAGCAGCAAGGCATGGTGAGCTTCATGAGAGGCACTCCCAAGCGGGAAGCTAATACAGACATTTGGTAACAGTCTCATTCCTGATGTTTTGCGCTGTTTTCCCTACACTGCACCAAAACCGTGGTGCCGCAGCGTGGGAGAAACCTGGCCATCTTTGAAGGGCAGAATTATCATTCCACTTCCCCAAGTCAGATCTCCTTCAGCAACCCTAGCCCCGCCCTCTGCGGGCTTCCGTAACGTGACGCAGCCACGCCTAGTGCGTCCCGGCGGATGTAGGCGGACGGTGTTTAGTCTCTTCAGGAGGGTTCCTGAGGCGCCTGAGGCAGTGGAGAGACCGTGTCGAAAGGTGATTGTAGTTTGTTAGTCATGGCCCTTCATCAGTAAAGTAAGCATCTCCGTCCTAAGTGCTCGGCCAACACCTAAATGCCGTGGCCGCCATTGTCTCTGCTCCCCGCTCCTGACTGCCGCTTGCGTTTGCCTGCCTCCCTTTCTTAAGGCAGGACACCTCTGGAGACACGCAAAACAGCCTCCGAGTCAAGCAGAACAGGTTAGTAAGGAGGACATTGCTTGAGGCTGTGAATGCAGGTTCTAAGATTGCTGCGGGATTTTGTGACCTGGGTGTGGAAGAGGGGGGGGCAGCCAGAAGCGGGCGGGGGAGGGGATGGTAAAAAGCTATTTACATTTCCATCAACTCGCCTCACTTCCGACTCCGTTCAGGAAGAGGGATGGCTGTAATGGCTGTAAAGGCATCATCCATTGGGGAGATGGCGTTCTTGTCAGAGGAAGCAGGGCTGCCATAGCTGGTGAGGGCGGTTGAGGCGCCTTGAGAATCAAGGAGGGAGTGTACAGGAGGTTTCAAATGTGGGGACATTTAAGTCTTGGAATGGAAGACTGTTTCATGTTCTGGTTGTTTATCTGACCTTCAATTAACCACATCTTGCTCACTGTTTTCATTTGATTTGGGGCTAGCAAACATTTATTTGTGTGGATAGATGAGCTGCCAAGTTTGCAGCTCTCCACATTTCAGGGCATCACGTCCAGAGGGGAGGGGAGAAGATTAAACAAAACTGACCTGGTTTCTTTATAGTAGGAAAAAAAAATCCAAGAATAGGTAGGGTTCTAGAACAATTTCTAGATCTCTTTGCCAGCCTTCCAGATATGCTCTCCATTACCCCACCTATATTGCAGACTATGATAGGTGTGTGGGGAGGAGAAAGAGGGGGAAGAACCTGTAAGAAAATTGAAAACGATCCTTTTCGTTACTTCCCATCTTCCTGTTACTGTCAGGCGCACCCTCCCTACTGACAACACTGTGACCGTGTCTTCATGGATATTTTCAGGCTTTAAGAGCATAGCAGACTATTGTGGAGATTCGGGGGAGGGGGGCGCAAAAGAAAGGGAACCAGAGAACTCTTTGCTGAGCAAGTATCTACATCCAGAAAGGGTTTATACCTTCGATGCTGTTTTCTAAAATAAATTCATTAGCGATGTTCTCCTATTTGCCAATTTCCATTGGTAGACATATTCATAGGGTTGTATAACTGTTGACTGTTTGAACATTTGTAAAATAACCCGACTTGAACCTAGGAAATAATGAAGAGTTTTTCAGGTTGGTGTGACGATAGAAACACAGGGGCCACTGACACTAGAAACTTAACATCCTTCGGTTTTGTCAGTTTATCAGTGACCCCTATTTTGTCTGTGAATTTACTTAAGGAGTCTTCGTGTACCTTGGAGCTAGATCCAGGATGCAGATATGTCCTTTCATGCCCTCTGCCTTGTTTTGTTCTAACACCTTGTTGTTATCTAATTTTCAACCAGGGAATTACGAGAATAATCACTGAAGAGGAAAATGGTGGGCCTTAAGGGAGGAGGAGGAGGAGGAGGAACAGATTTGAAGATGAGTAATGGGTGGAGATGAGGACCAGGAAGGGAAAAGCTAGACAAACTGTCTGAAGAGCTTAGGTTCTCTGTCCGCTTTGTTTGTATATAGGGTCCACCCGATTGACTGCAGGGCCCATCGCCAGGGGAAGCAAAGAAGAAAGAAAATTACTTCACATCAGTGCAGGTTAGTATGAATGTGGGGATTCCTTGAGGATGAAATAGGCAAGATTTGGTTGGTTGCATCCCAGGTCAGGAAACAGCCTAGGGATTCTGTAGCCTCTCATGTCCATCCCGCTTTCCTATTCTCCCTGGCCTTATTTGTGTCTGGAAAGGCAGTTGGCAGCACGTGGAGGTGTAGACAATGGGCGAAATGAAAGAAGGAGTTTGCTAGTTGTCTATTTCTCCCCCATAGAGCACTGAATTTCCATACTTAAATATCACTCTGTGCTAATCAGCATGAGGAGAAAAAAATTGGAAGAGACTTAAAGCCCCATTTCCTTCCTCCACCCCTAGGTCCAACTTCAGTGCCAGATCTGGTGGCCTTGGAGTGGCTGAAGACCACCACCCTCCACAGGCCTGCGCCCAAGCACAGCTATTCTTTATCTTGAGTGAGCTTCCTCAGCATGCTGTCTATATCATTGGCAGAAACTCTAGTTGGAAAGGGGGCTGACTGACTACCGGACTCTATGTGAAAACACCAACTTGGGGCTGACTTTCTGGCAAGGCTGAGATAAGGGCATATTATTTGGCTTTGCTTTTATCTTGAACCATGATTGGCTCTACATCTAAAGCAAAAGGTAGGGAAGAGTCTGGGGCTTCCGCGAAACCTGAAAGCAAAAGCCTTGTCAATGCTAAAGGAAAAGCCAAGAGTCAGACCAAGAAAGTGGTTGAGACAGAACCGAAAGAAGAACTGGGGAACCAGGCTGAGGCTAGGGGTAAAGCAATGGCCAGGACACAAACAGTGACTCACACTGAGCCTGAGACTGTGACATGGAAAGTGAAAAAAAAGAAAGATAAGACTAGTATTACAGTCAAGGCTCAGACTAAGACAGAGTTCCTGAAAGAGCCTGGGTTAGTGCCTCACTCCAAGGCAGATGCCGCGCCTATATCTGTGGTCATTACTGTAACCAAGTCTGAAGTCAAGGTTGACGCTGCTATTGAGGCGTCTGGCAAGTGCTCAGCCAAGGCTAGTGATAAGGGCAGTATGAAGCACAGGGCTGAGATAAAGAAAGAGACCTGTGTCAGATCTGGGGATGGTGGCAAAGCTAGTATTGTCATCAACACCACTGATGATGATGAAGAGTATGTGTGCTCCTGGTTTTGGACTGGAGAAGAGCCTAGTGTAGGGTCCTGGTTCTGGCCTAAAGAAGAAAACCCTCTTCAAGTTTATCAGCCCCCACCTAAGGTTGAGGAAGAACCTGAACCCGCAGATACATTCGACTTTACTTTAAAAAAAAAAGCAGCAGCGTGGGCAAGAGGCAGGTTTATTGTCCTAGTTCCAGTTGAGGAAGGCGAGCGACCTGCACTTCCAGAAGGGAACTGGACTTTGGTTGCGACCTTAATTGAAACTCCTCTGGGTGTTCGACCATTGACCAAGATTCCACCTTTTGAAGGACCTTACTTCCAGACTTTAGCTGAAATAAAAGAACAAATCCGGGAAAGAGAAAAGTATGGACCCAACCCAAAGACCTGTCGCTGTAAATCGCGTACCTTTAGTTTAGAGCCTGTAGAGTTTGATAAGCTTGTTGCCCTACTTAGGCTAACTAGGGATCCTTTCATTCATGAGATAGCTACAATGATAATGGGCATCAGTCCTGCCTACCCGTTTACTCAAGATATCGTTCATGATGTTGGTATTACTGTTATGATTGAAAATTTTGTCAATAATCCAAATGCTAAAAAGCTCCCTAGAAATTTAAATGTGAGTACCAGCACTGACGCTTCTGAAGAGGCAAAAGAGAATGAAGCACATGTAAATAAAGTCTGTAGGGACATACTCTCTTGTCCTTTGAACTGCTCTGTACAAGTTGAGGAGCTAAAACTGTTAGCGAGCCTGAGTATAAAATTTGACTACCACCACGTGATTGTAAATTATGTCCGCTATTTTATCACATTGTTAAATAAAGGAAGTGTCAAAATCAAATTTCAGATTTTAAGGGTTATTTTATATTTGTCAAAGAATCAAGCCAATACAAGAGAACTGATCAGTGCAGAAGTATTGTCGTCACTGGTTGCTCTCTTTCATAAGAATGAGTCAAAGGCTAATATTCTACATATCATTGATATATTTGAGAATATAAATTTCCAGTTCAAAAAAAGGGCAAAGCTGTTTACCAAGGAAATGTTCACTAAATCTGAACTTATTTCCATATTCCAGGAGGCAAAACAGTTTGACCAGAAACTCAATGACTTAGCAGAGCACAGTGACCCTGATGTGAGAGATAAAGTTATCCGATTAATACTCAAACTCTGAATAGTTGTATATTCTCACAAAACCTTGAGCATTTTCGTCTTTCCAATATAAATCTAATGCATATTATAAGTATAAATTTGATATTTTTACTCTCTGTGTTGAGGGAGGCAATTTTATGGATGCTAGTCATCTTGAAAGAGTAAACACTTGTTGGTTTTTATTGTGCTTATCTATAATATAAATTGGTATTTTTGGTATCTGTAATGTAACCCAGTACTGAACCTATTCACCCTAAATAAGCTATATTTCTGTGCGTTACATTGATATAAGTGTATTTTCGTATTCCATTTGCGTGTTTTTAATAAAGTTGCATGCTAAACATGGTGAAAACATTGTCCCGGTTCTTCAGTTGAATTGTAGTCAGAGATGAACAATGTAAAGATAGCCATGATCGCTGTCTGTCCATTTACTGATGGGGGTGGCACAAACAAACGGGTTCACAGATTGGCAGATCTTTTAGTTTCAACATGTTCAGGGAATAAAATAAATCATTCTGTGACCAAGAAGACAGGAATATGCTTCTGACTCTCTGGAGGTTGTAGAGTTTCAAGTGAGGATTCTCTATCCTGACAACTCTGGGGAAGTGGGTGATGGCAGACTTTGGAGGGGGAGAATACAGATGCCTTCATGTCACTCTGAGTAGCCTTTCACATCTGTTGTCTCACGAGGATGCCTTCAAGTTTTTAATCCCCGAGAGAGTTTCTACTTCTCAGCCTGTTCAGTTAAATAAGGGACAGCTGTGGGAAGTGCACACATTGTATCCTTATTAGCACCTTCCCTATCCAGGAATACCAGATTTACTCCCAACGAGGTTTTTCTATCCCTACAGTCTGGGCCTCAGAGGAGGGCTTGGGATCACCTACAGAAACTGAATATTGATATCAACTCTTCCACTTGGGCGGTTGTTGGTTCTCATCCTTGCTTTTGTTTTCTGTCCAATACTTTTGATTTGGTCATTTTTCCCTGTTCTTGCTGATTCTTAAGGTCAGGGCATGGCTGTGTGTGTGACACAACCACCGGATATCAAAGTCCTTTAGTAGTGCATAGTTAACAAGAAAATCATCTTTCCATCCTCACTATCCTGCTTATTTTCAGTTTACCGTTTGAAGCCATGCTGGTTATTCTACCCCAGCCTCCCGTTTATATAATAAAAGCTAGGTTGAGAGCAGAGGATTGTGGTATAGAACAACAGGTATAGATTGGGATTTGTTACTACCTTTGCCTTTCCTACTCGCCAGGCCTTTTGCAGGTCTTTTGCTTTGATTAGTTGCAATTTGCTGCCCAACATTGGAAATAGAGATTATGATCTCTGGAGGATGTGTGTGTGTGTGTGTGTGTGTGTGTGTGTGTGTGTGTGGGGACACACGAATGTGCCTATGATCTTTCTTTTGACCCTCCTTTTCCAAACTTCATGTAGCTAGGTAAGGTCTAAATAAAAAATATCAACATGCTGGAATATATCCTAAATTTTAACAGCTAGTCCTGGTTTAATTTTTATGAAGGTCAGATGTGAACCTATTTTTCATATTCCTAGGATAATTTCCTAGGAATAATTGAAGGATAATTTTCATCTTTGTGAATTAGGGGGGAAAGCAGTGAGGTTTTTTTTCTTGCAATATGCCACTTTGATTTAGAAGATTTTTGAAGTTCTATGTAACTGTTTTTAATCCACAGATCTCCCCTAGCCTTTAATACCAGCTGTGAGTACTTCTCTCATTGGAGCTCTTCACAGTGCAATCGGACCAAATCCTTTGGAAACATTCTATTTCTCAAATGCCCTGTGGAGCACACACTTAATCAGTTGATGGCCTGAGAATTTTCCAGTATCAGCTAAGGAGAAGGGTGAGTTTGGGATATATGTATATATTGGTGCCAAAGAAAGAAATCTGTCTTCCTGCGTGAGTGGTAATTTTGAGAGTCGAAAACCATCTCTCTAAGTTTCTGACATGTCATCTATTGATGTGCACTTTAGCTGTTCCCACAGTTGGGCTATTATGACCAGTGCTGCAGTGAACATCACAGTACAGGTATCTGTGGGAGTCCCTAGTTTCCTTTCCAAATGCGCTTAGAAGTGGAATTGCTTGGGAACATGATGATAATTCTGTTTAGCTTTTAAGGAACTGCCAAACTGATTTCCACAATGGAAATACCATTTTGTAGTCCTGTCATCAATATATGATCATTTGAATGTATCTACATCTTTTAAAATGCTGTTATTTTCCTCTACCATTTAAGTATTCTTTTTCAGAGATACATAAAAACATGAATGATATTTTAATGGCCTAACCTGCTGTAATGTGTAGTATATGTATAACTTCTGTGCTTTTCAAATGTAGTTAAACATATTTATTTCAAGCATTTATCTTTTTTTACTGCTAAAAACTTTAAAAGTCTTTTTTCCCCCAGGTTTTTTAAATATAGTGCATTATTGTTATCTGTACTTACCCTATCATATAGGAACATACCAGAACTTCTAGTTCCTAATGAAACTTAGTAACTGTTAATTAGCCTTACCCCATACTCTTCCTAGCCTTTTGTAACAACAGTTCTACTCTCGACTTCGAGGCCAACCTTTTCAGATTGCACATATGTGTAAATGATAAGGCATTTGTCTTTCTGGGCCTGGGTTATTTTATTTAAATACTGATCCCTAGTTCCAGCCCTGTTGTCAGGAATGGCAGAATGGCTTTCGTGACTGAATAATATTTTATCCTGTACATGAACCATAACTTTATCCATTCATCAGTTTTTGAATACTTTTGGTTTTTCTTCTATTTCTTGACTATTGTGAATTTCAGTACTGCATTGAGTGTGTGCGTGCAGATGGCTCTTTAGCATGCTAATTTAATTTCCTTTGAAAGTATACCTAATAGTGGAATTCCTAGATCATATGGTAGTTCCGCTTATGTATTTTTAGTATCCTCCATACTGTTTTCTGTAGTCTGTATATCAACTTGCATTCTCATGAGCAGAGTAAAATATCTTTTTCTTCACAGTCTCACTGGCATATCTTATTTTTAATCTTTTTGATAATAGCAATGCTTATTGGTGTCAGGTGGCATCTCTTACTGCTAAAGGTTAGTGGTGTGAAGCATTTTTCCAAGCACCTGTTGTCCACTTTTATGTTTGTTTTCTTTTGGCAAATGCCTATCCAGGCATATTGTTTATTTTTAAATGTGTTTTTGGAGGATTTTCAGAGTGTTTTGCAGTTCCTAATCAAGTCTGTGTTTCAGACCCTTGCCAGATGTATGAACTGCCAGTATTTTCACCATTTAATAGACTATCTCTGCATTCTGCTTTCCTATATTGTGCAGAAAATTTAGTGAAATGTTACCCCATTTTAATTTTTGCTTTTGCTTCTTTTGCTTGTATGGTCTTTTCTAAAATTTCCTGTCAGTTCCAATGTCTTAAAGCATTTTTTCTACTTTTCTTCTAGTAGTTTCGTCATTTTAGGTCATACATTTGGTCCTTTAATATATTCGAAGTTGGTCTTTTGTAATTAGTGAGAGATAGTTGATTTTTGTAATTTTCAAGAGATTCTTCTACCTGTGGCCATCAATTTTTCCCAGCATTGTTTAGTACAAAGACTGTTCTTTCGCCATTGTGTGTTCTGAGCAACTTTGTTAGAAAAGAGTTGATTGTAGATGTGTAGACTATTTCTAGACTCTATTATTTGCAGTTGGTTTGTGTGTCCTCTTTTATATCTTATCATGCTAGTTTTTTTTAAATCAATCTAGCTTTGCAGTTTGATTTGAAGACAGGAAATATAGTTCCTCCTACTTTTTTCTATCTATTCGGCATATATTTGATTTCTTGGAGACTTTTGTGGTTCCATTTGATTTTTTTTATTTTTTATTTTTTGCTTGTTTGTTTTTGTTTTTCGAGACAGGGTTTCTCTGTGAAACAGTCCTGGAACTTGCTTTGTAGACCAGGCTGGCCTTGGCCTCAAAGATATCAGCTTGCCTCTGCTGAGATTAAAGGTATGTGCCAACACCTCCCAGCCTGTGTGATTTTATTACTGCATTTTTTCTAGTTCTGTACAGAGCATTGGTAGTATTTTTATAGGAATTAGATCAGATTTGTAAATCACTTTTGCTAGTACATTTTAACAGTGTTGATTTTTCCAATCCATGAACACAGGGTGGCTTCTCATATTTTTATATCCCTCTTAATTTCTTTCATCAGTGTTTTATACATCTTACTATAGAGATCTTTTGCATATTTGTTTACATTTATTTTTAAAAGTTTACTTTTATAAATATTGTAAATGGAATTGCTTTCTTTTTTATTTCAGGTAATTTCTGCATGCTAATTTTATATTCTTCAACTTTACAGAATGTACTTGCTCATTCTAATTTTGTTTTATTTTTGGTGGATATACTTGTGACCTCCAAACAGCAACAGTTTGACTTCTTTTTCAGTCTGAATGAATGTTTGTTTGTCTGTCCTTATTGTTCTTGCTAGGATTTCTAGCACTGTATTGAATAAAAGTGGTGAAGAGAACATCCCTCTCTTGTTCTAGATTTTAGAAAGAAGTCTTTTCGGCTTGTTTCCTTTGACTTTATTAACTATCATCTTATTATAAAGGTCTTATTATGTTGTAATATATTCCTTCTATTCCCAATTTTTCAGTTCTGTTATGAAATGGTGTTGAATTTTATCAAATATATTTTGCATATGTATGTTTTTCAGTCCTTCATTTCATTGATGTGGTTACTCAGTGCATTGAACCATCTTGCATTTGTTGAATGAATCCCACTTGATCATAGTAAATATGCTGTAAGTTTAATTTGCTGCTCTTTTCATATGTATTGATTAATCATACATTGGCCTATAGTTTTGTCTGTATGTTACTGTCTGGATAATGCTGATCTCATAGACATCATATAGGGTTTAAACCTGTAGAAAGCCTTTGTTAGCCAGCTGATAACTGCAGTAGGTTTTCAGGATCCCAGTGTAGCTCTGAGCCTTTCTCAGGGTAAATTTTTAAGCACAAAAGCCATCTTCTGGAATTACATACTTCAGTTAACAAGAATAGTTAGCTAGAAGTAGAACTACAGAAGCCAAAACGCAAGGTTAGTACATTTAGAGACTTTCCTAGAACTGACTAGACTTTCCTAGACTTTGATGGATTAGGTTGTTGTTTTGGCAGGTGGTGCTGTCAGCATGCTGTTTTATGACCTGAATGGTACTTCCATCATGACATCTGTCAGTTGTGCTATAGTCTGAGGGGCCTATTAAGGTCTGGGGCTCTGTTACTTTCCCCACTAGTGTTATTGAATGAGTCAAAATTGTGGCCTCATCCTGCTTTAAAGAGGTGTAGTTGGTCCCGGGGCCATTAATTTTTATTGAATTGATACGTAATTGGCCATATAGTTTAAGATGAAGGATCCTGCTGTTAATCCAATCAGAATGAGAACTAAAGATTAATCCAGTGCTATTAGTCGTTAGCTAGGGGGCTCAAGAGAATAGAAACTGGTACTAATTATTTGATTTATGTCTTTGTTTTTTTCTCTCTCTTTTTTTTGAAGGTTTTTTTTTGAGGTTTTCTCCAACTATGGCAATATTTTTCTTATTACTCCTGATCAATTAGCATAGAAACAACAGGTTTCTCTCAAAGCCATACATAATTTCCTTTTTCTCATGAGAGGTCTAAACCTTCCCGATTTTGTAAAACCATTTCTTCAAGGTAATCTAACTGTTGTTTTAATTCAGAAATGAAAACTTTTAATACCTCTAGGTTCTGATCAACATATCTAGATCAACATCTACTAAGATGAATAAAAGGAATTTCTCAGTTTGGAAAATATCAGAATAGGTACATTTTGTCAAACCATTGATCCATGCCCACCAGTTAGTCTCAGGGGCCCAGTAATATTGCTGTTGTTTCAGATGAGTTAACCCCCCAAGACAGAATAGCAGGTATCAGATTAAAGGAAAGTGCTTATGTTAAAGGTTTGTTTAAGAGACAAGTTCCAGCCTCTTGTGAGTCCCCTAATGTTAATTTGGGCTGTCCTCAAGTCATTATGAGTTTTGTCAGACAATGGGATGACAGTCTGGTTAGTTTCTTGTATAGTATAGGGACCTGGAGGGGGGGGGGGCGTCTAAGCATAACCAGCAATCCTGGTTGATTTCTGTCTGGAATGATTAACTGTGCAGTGAACCTTGTCAGAAATAGAGAAGAGAGTGAGGATCACTTCCTGCATATCAGGAGGTGGGACTCTGCCCTGTTCCTGGCAACTAGGGGACCCAGCGGCAGGGCATACATAGAATTTTAAGTTCTGTATTCCTATCAAAGGATAAACTCCCCGATCTTTCTTTTCTCTAATACAAACAAAGAACACTTGAAGTGGCTATTAGTTTGCAAAGGTCAAGATGAATATGGGTTGCTGCTCTGCAGTCACACTAGCTAATGCCTTTCATGTATCTGTCTTCCTTAGTTCCTAGATCCAGGCCTGAGGATGGTGGGCTTTGCACTGTAAGCGGAGATAGCTCTTTTGTTTCCTGACCCCTCAGACCCAAATAATCACACAGAAACTTTATTAATTACATTGGCCAATAGCTTAGGTTTCTTATCGGCTAATTCTTTTCTTTTTTCTTTTTTTTTAAAAAGATTTATTTATTTATTATGTATACAACATTCTGCCTCCATGTATGCCTGCAGACCAGAAGACCAGATCTCATTACAGATGGCTGTGAGTCACCATATGGTTGCTAGGAATTGAACTCAGGACCTCTGGAAGAGGAGCCAGTGCTCTTAACCTCTGAGCCATCTCTCCAGCCCTCGACTAACTCTTATATCTTAAAATAGCCCATTTCTATTATTCCATGTATCACCATGA